GTCCAGGAGAGGTCGTTAGTAATGTGCACCCCCAGGAATTTGGTGCTGCTGACCACCTCCACAGCCGAACTGTTGATGAGCAGTGGAGCGTGGCTGGGCCGATTCTTCCTGAAGTCGACGATCATCTCCTTAGTCTTGTCAACGTTCAGGATCAGGTTCAGGATCGTTTTAGCTTCTGTTTTGTTTACAACTTTTTGCCACTGCTTGGCTCATTTTAACTTTTCTTTTGCCAATTTTAGTGTTTATTTATGGCTTTCTTAGTTTTAGCTTTTAGCTACTTATTTGTTAGCTTCAAATCTGCTTGTTTWACTTTTCTAATTCGGTGAACAATTCTTCCTCAAACTAATTTCAGTGAAGTCGTTCAGTGCTCAGCGTTCTCTGGTTCTCATCAGGCTTGTTCGTTCACTTGGAGCTGTTTGTTGTTAATCCAACACGACTAATACAAAGTTCCTGTTGTTCACTTTTGATTTACTGYAATGTCTCAGTCATTCAGTGAGACTTCAGACAAATTTGACACCACATTTAAGAAGAAAAACATTTACTAAGAAGACTAGTTTGACCCAAAACAAGTTCAAATTAGTCCTAAAATGATTATGGTTAATGTTGGTTAAGCTCAGATATGTTAAATTGTAGCAACAAAACTCATTCATCTTGGAATAAAACCTCAAGAAAACTTTTGATCCCAAAACAATAATTTTTCTGAGTACTCACCCCATGAATATAAAAATATCATATTTTTTCACTTTCTTCCCTGCATTTCTGCAGGCATGTATAAATCTATAGGCGCTGCCTTCAATAAAACAATTTTTTCACATTTCAGAACATTTGATTGTRACTCTTCTTTTAAGGCATGCCCTTGCATTATTAGCCTTTTCTATCCTGTGCTCCACCGACCGTCTCCTTGTACCTCCTGCACACATGAGTAGATGTGATGGCTCATAAGGTAATTAAACCCCTGATCTGCTGCTGTGTGTTTGCAACTGTAAAGCAGAGGCAGGGCCTCCCTGCTTCAGGTAGCTCTCCCACTCAGGTCAGTAAACAGCTAATGACATTTAGAAGAAAAGAGGATGAAAGAGACGGCGGTAGGCTCTAGTCAGCTGCACACTACTTTTGTCTTATTGTCGACCGTCTGTCTTAATCTCCCAGCCAGCCTTTTTCACACCACAAGGAGATCATGTTATTAGATCCCCCTTCCCTCGGCTCATTTGTCATCCTGCGGCGCCGCTCCTCCAGATAAGGGAAAGAAAAGAAAACAGTGTAAAAATGTAGGAGACCGCAACATCACACGCTCATCATTTACAGACCTCCGATTCTGTAAACTTTCTTCCACAATCAGAAAGCTTTTGTCACTTTTCTAACGCTGACAAATTCAGTTTCTCTACCTTTATAGCATTTCGTGTAATACTCTGACCGCCCCCCCCCCTCCCACATCCACGTATTGTACGTACACAATCATTCCCCCACCTACAGCATCACGAGTTGCGACAATAAAAAGTATTGTCAGCGCTCAGAGTTTGCTGTCACTTCCCCAGCRGCTCGGCTTTAATCTTGCCTCTCTTTGAGCCGAGCAGCTCTCCTGCAACCGAGGGAGGGAGTCAGCTAATTACAATAAACAAATATGCTCAGAAATGCCTATGTGAGGCTCACATAGGTTAACAATACTGCTATAAATGTTAAATGTAGCTTAAAATAGGATAGTGTGGCTTACAGTTGCCATAGTAATCTCTGCAGTGACTCTTTGTGTACTTTGTTGGTTGGCAAAGTTTAAATTAATCTCAGCAATGATCTTTTTTTTGATACAGAGAAGTAATGAGGGATTGTTTGATGCCTCGTGTGGCGTTTTATTTATTTATTTATTTGTTTTTTTTACATCTCAGTCATGTTGAAGTTGTAGTGATCTGTCGTTAATCCATCAGGCGAGGCTCCCTCACACTCACCTGTGTCTTCTGTGCTCCTCGTTCAACAGGTGGGACACTCAGAAATGATGCGTAGGAGGTGCAGCGTTGGGCCGTACTGATGGATGTGTTAGCAGACAGCGGTCTCACATTGARTGTGAAGACTTCAGAAGCGGGGAATGCAAACGTGGAAAATGCAGGTAACATCACGTCTAKCTTACACACACCCCATTTCATTTAAATAAACTTTACCAACGTTTTTGTTTAATTTTTTTTATTAGCTTTGAATGTTCAAGGAAACTCAGTTTCTGAACTTAAAAAAAAAAACGTTGTTTTTTTTCCATTTTCCAGAGAATAAACTTCACTTGAATAAATAAAAGCTTTAAAAAGACAATTAGTATAACCACATACACGGAAACTTACATTTTTTAAATTAGTTTTTTTATCCTTAGTTTTAAGCTCTTTAAAAAGAAATGTGAAGAGTGTAACACTTGTCTTTTTTGTCCTGAATGAGAAGTGGAAGAGAAGCATTAAATGGGGCTTTTTAAGCTATTGTTAATCCCCTCTCCTCATGCGTCTACTGCATCTAATTTTTTCTCATAAAAAGGTGCAGCCATTAACGCTCTCACACAAGCTCACAGTTATTATCACGGACATAAGAGGTCTATTTTTATAAAAAAGGAAAATAACTTTGATTATTATTTTGTTTTATATTAATCTTTCATAATTGTGTAATATTCTGCAAGGTTTACCWAACTAAACTAACTAAAAGTTCCTACTTCTGTATGAAATCTTGGTAGATTTCAGCAGACCAGACTCAGGATCTCATTCAAACCACTTAAAAAAGTGTCCATTTCACAAAAGTCAGACTTATAAATCCAGGATATCAGCTGTGAACTGAGCTTGAACAAGCCTTCAACTTGTCAACAACTGTAATCTGTTGTTCTAACACCAAACCACGCTTAATCAAGGCGGCTCATTCAAGCCAGCTGTAAATTGTTTAAGATTAATTCACACTCATGGTTTGCTTACTAGACCCACTGGGTGGATTGAAGATTTCCTGATCAGGCATGTGCAGTAAGACATGTGAGTCTCACTTCTTCCAGCAGTTTAAGGGTTAATTATGATTCGTATGAAAAGATGAAGAGAAACACCGACTGATTGCTGAAATAATTTCAAAAGTAAAAACTTTTTTGTGCCACTGAATCTGTTTGTAAGTTATCGGAGATTAACTGAACAAAATTAAAATGAACAGCTGATCGCTTTGCCTTAAAATGATCGCAGCTGTACATTTAGGAAATGATGATACAGATCGGGGGAGGGGGGAGG